TTTATGATGCAAAGCCCAAACAATACTCTGTAAGAAAATTTAATAAAAAGAAAACAAACCTCATTTCAGTCTAGTTAAAATAGAGTACTAGCAAATAATAAATAGCTCTGTTAACATAACTAACCCAGATAACCAAATTGACCTTTTTCTGAAAATTACATAAAAAAGTATAAAAAATTGAAGTTTTCCTCATGGCATGAATGCAACATGATATTCTAATTCCCTCTTCCTACCTTGGATGGATTTGTTTAGAAAATTATATGTGCATATGGGGTAAAATTCTCAATGTATATGTAGATATGTAATGGTTATAACCTTACCAATTAAAGCTTGAAGGTTGTGTTAATCTTTTCATCCTTCTATTTCTCTGTAGGCATTTTCTGGTACAGATAATTCTTCTCCAATGGCTACTACTCATGGGTTTCGTTCTGTCAGTGAAGTAAGCTCTTCTGTTTAGGCTTTTTTTTTTTTTTTTTTTTTTTTCTTTTACAATAGGTTGTTCTTGTCTTTTTGATGGGGTTTTTCTAATTGAGTTTCTAAACTTTCTATCACATACTGATGTAAGAATATGTATGAGGTGGATGTAAAATGAACTTTTGTTTAAGATAAGAAAGGTCATGCTCTGAAGCTCTTGTACATTTGACAATTACTTTAATTATTCATTGTTAATTTTCCAACTGTTTAATAGCAAGCAAATTGAGCTAGCACCGTAGGCATACCTTTCTGAGCCTAAAGTCACTGCCTTAGGCTTGCTTCCATGATCAGGTGAGCACCTCAGTGACAGGGCCTTGCCTTTAATAAAAAAAGGCTCTATGGCATTGGTACCTCACTCCCATTAACCACGTTCATAGGGCCCCAAGAAAAATATAATTAACAACATTTAAAATTGTAAACACTCCTATAAAAGACCTTAAAAAATATAATCACCTTGCTTTTATTAAGCCTAAAGTAAATTCCTACTATACCCCTCTAATCCTAATTCACCTTGCTTTTGTTAAGCCTAAAGACAAGACATTGTAGGCAAATTCCAAAATTGTGTGTCATCAACTTGAAATTTGGTTCCCATTCATTGCTTTTATTGTTCTTGATGTGCATGCAAGTCGATTAATTGACATCTCCTCTACATTGTAGATTAATTTGCTTAACATTTTCATATATCTGCAGCCACAGAATCCGCAACAAAGTCCTTCCAAGCATCATGTATCACCACTATCACATCAGCCTCAGTTTCATCCTATTCATCATCAGAACCATCACCAATCAATTCACCAAAATCACCATGCAGCCCATTTTCCCCAAAATCATCAATGTGGACCTGCATCACATTTGCCTGACATTGCTCATTCTCACCAGTCATCAACCATTTCTCAACATATGGCTTGCTTGCAACCCCTTACGGGAACTCATAGTGGACAACGCTTGCATGTAATGGTAAGATTCTCTTGGACATGCCCACCTTATGTATTCTTTTATGTATTTCAGAGGATTCATGTTACTTTTATCTTTGCTGTCGTGATACACATGCTTACTAATTTTTGACAAGGGGAAAGTGATTGAAAGATCTGGCTGATAAGGTTCTGAATGAGGCAATGTGGATGTTTATTTAAATTTTAAAATGTGGTCAGGTGGTAGTATATTTGATATGCATGTTTTTCCTGATGTTCAATTGTGTACTTGTAATTCTTGTTCCAAGTTTGATACAAGGTTAACTATTCAAAGAAACTTCGGCAAACTTAAGGGTTGTTTCTTTTTTCGTTTTTTTTCTTCTTCTTCTTCTTCTTTTTTTTTTTTTTTTCTGGGGCCAGTAACAAAGAGGCAACTTAATGTTTAACTTAATTTTTCTGAAGAAACACCTAAAATAATTATGATGCTTAGAAATTGCACATGTACCCTCTTTTTAGTAAAATTTCTTAAAAGACCAAGAAAATGGAAGGTTAATTACTTTATTGATACTCTTTTTAGTATAAAAGGTGAATTTAATTGTCCAATGTCCAAACTAAATATAAAGCAGTTCAAAAGACTGCTACTGTAATGCAACCTGTTATGGATTGAGTAAACTCAAAAATAAAGCACAACTATTATATTGCCTTACAATGTTACAAAGCCCTAAGGATATTGTATTATACATAGGAGAACACTTTAGCAAAAGTGCAAAACCAAGAATTCTATCTTGAACATCAGCTGTAATGGTAGAAAGCACATCTGTTTCAGGCTGAAAATAATTCTGGTGGATTCTTTTGTTCCTCTATAGCTTTACGTAGTAGATGTGACAGCATTCCATGCAAATTTTGACAAGAGAATTGTTCACAGAGACTTCATTCTCACCTTACTGCTGGGCCGTAATAGCTAGGCAACCAGGAATTCATTACTGGTATACCCACTTTTGTAGATATTTCACTCTAAACGTCACTATATAGCTGGAGGGAAAAAATAAGGGGTCCCTGGATTCACCACCAACTCCACACAGTACACAAGTATCATCAGTACATATTAGACCATTGCCTCTGTCTGGCTTTAGTAAAAAGTCTATCAAGGTTAGCAAGCCAAGCAATAGAACTGTGTTTAGGAAATTGACATTTGCTTTGAGATGCCTAGAAAGGTGGAAAGGAAAGTAGGAGATTTAATTTAGAAGTGAGCATTAAATTTCCAGTTTATGGTCCTTTGCTATTTATTTGTCCATATAACTAACTCTCAACTACCTCTACATGTAACTTAGGTAATACTTTTATGTTTTATATGAATGATAATTGAAATTTTTTTAGATAATACGAAACTAAACAAGAACTATGTATTGACACAAAAATATTTTCAATGGTCATTCATATGCTATATGAAAGCATCACCTAAGGTTAAAAGCAAAAGTAGTTGAAAGTTAGTTATATGGACAAATAAATAGGAATGTAGGGAGTATTATTCTAGATTGATGACACTATTAAAAACAGAAGCATATTTAAAGATAGTATCTTT